CAATTTTATTTTGAAATTAAGTTAGATGTACAAAGTGTCTTATGATTATTATTTTCAGTAGCAACTCACTCCTTAGTAAATAAGGACAACGCGATACCTCCGGATCCTTCGTCTCATTTCTGCAACGTAATTAAATTATACAAAGGCTTTACCGGGAAATAATGTCATATTTTGCGAACGACAATAATGTTTTAATGCATAATGCCATCATTTTGAAAACAGTCACGTTAAGTTTGAAGGTAAAACAATTGCGGCGTGCTGGCTCGTTAGCCCTCAAGTGACGAGTGTAATAAGATAAAGTAACGCCCCCTGGCGACCTGCGGAACAAAGCCTCGGCGCTCAGTCGCGCTCCGCCGGCGCCTCGCACACAATACAGCTCAGCACATAATGCCTCCTTATCGCATAAACATGACCTGTTTAACTGCAAAATACATGTTACATGTATATTTTAATTTTCAACTGATAACTTTGAAAACAAACTGACAAATGATAATTATTTTCACCTTTTAAGATCAATCAAGTACAAAAAGGCGTAGTGTAATTTAAAAAAAATTAAGTACTTGTAATAGCGCAGTCTTTACATCCTCAACTTGCTCTTATCCCTTACGGAGGGTCGGCACAGTATGTGCTGCTCCTCCATACATTTCTACCGTCATATCTGAATCCACTCCCTTCTCAAGCATATCCTCTTTGACACAATCCATGCATACTTTCTTCGGTTTTCCTCTTCCTTTTTTTAATAGCGCAGTCTTTACAGCGATTACAAAGGTTTGATGTTTCCATAATTCATTTTATTAGTAAAGCTTAAAACGTCATTAATACCAGCTTTCATTACAAGTCGTTAAGTAAACATAAAATGCAATCAATGTTTAATATTAATATTACAAGCGTAAACCCTCAACTCAACTTTCAAGATAACTTTAATGTAAAGGTTGTTATTAATACTAAACATTTACTCATAGAACAAATAATATTCAACATTAAATATATCACAAATACTGATTTACGAACACCTATTTAAACAAACACAAAGCAAATAGTAACTAAACCCCTAGTTAATTCAACGACTACATATTAATAACGACAATGCTTGAAAGGGTTACATCGGTACATCAGGCTACATCGTTACTGAAAATATATTTAATTTTATAGCAATTATTTTTAACGGTTAATAATTACATCACAAAACATGCTTCTATTGAGTCCCTTTATCAAGCAAGTAATTTAATTTTGCTGTGAAACAACTAGATTTAATTTTTCGACTTATATTGTGATACAACCAAACGCCAGATGAGACACATTTATTAACTAAAGCATAGAGAATTGAACAATAAATGTAAGTTACAAGGACAATAGAATGAGGACGGATGCTGTTCGTTCAAACAACGCCGGAGGAAGCTGCATTATAAAGGGTAAAATGCTACAATCATTTAGAGGCAGTGGGATAATTTTTAAATGTTCAATTCCTCTACGGCAATCGCTAGGCATGTATGCCGTAGGGCAATTGCGTTTAATCTCGAATGTGGCCTTACATTTTCTACCATACATTATATACAAACATATCCTTTTTATTATGACACCTTAATTAATTTAGCAAAATCGAAAATTATGTTATGAACAGATATTTTGGCACTCCGTGGTTGTAAATATTGCGGTCAGTTGGTGTTAGGCGTTACAAATTAATATTTGAACGCTTGAAATAAGAATTCATTCTTTCCAATGTAGTTAATTACTTAGTAGGTAGTAAACACTTAATCACCTAATCAAGACGGCCGGAGATTGCTTGTATCGCTTAAGTTATTCATAAGCAATTATTGCCAACTTGAATACGTGTGTTCTCTGATTAAGACTAAATAAGTCTGGCCAAATTCAATCTGTTAATGCTTATTATTTGAAAGTAAAATACTAAGAGCCATTTTAATTTACATCAAAAAAACTAAAAGAACAAAAACTATAAAATAGGAAACTATTTTATATAGCTCTCCAAGACTTCCGAGTATACAAGTTAAAAGTGAAAATGTATATAATATTTTCATTAAGAAATAGTTTTGCATCCTCAAAGGGGTTGGTAATTTAATTAAGAACTGTAGGTAATTTGAAAATTTCTTATGAAACAGTTTTATAAAAGGTGTACTATTCTAACAATTTAACTCTTCCTTAATTATGAATACTTGTTAAAAATAACTAATAAATATAAACTAATTACCGCATATGTACGATACTAAAAAAATTAATACATCAATATGAGAAAGAAGTGATTACGATTGTATTTTTATGTGAATGTGTTGATTTTGCATAAAGTCGGCCATCGTAGCAACGGTAGGCAAATACCGAACAATTTCGCAAAATATTGAGCAGAATTTGACGTAGAAGTTGTAGTACAACATCAAGCCTATCTGTGTACTAATGGTCTATACATGCGATAACAGAACAGGCAACGTATCGCAGGAGGAGCAAGCGAGCGGGCTCGATAGTACTCGTATTCCATGCAAACTTTCCGCGCCGTTTTATCTACGACATAAACAATGTTCGAATAAAAATGAACCGCAGTAAAACCCTTCCGGCCTTCCATATTTCAGACTTACGTAACGTTCCTTACGTGGTTTACGATCTCAGCATACAAATAAAAGGTATAACTCAACCATCATTTACATCTAGTTACGTAACTAGGTGATAATAAATTAAATAACATATTTTGAATGTTAGTTGTTTTTTTTAGTAATTTGAATTGATATTTTTGTACAGAGTTTTAACAGAATGAGGTCATGTCTACGGCTTTTAAGAGATAATGAACAAATTCAGAAACAATAAAATAAATAAATTCTATGAATTTGTTCTTCTAAAAAAGATACTTAATAACATCGGATAATTTATATTAAAGTTCAATTACAGTATAAAATATATAATCTAAATATAATTGAAAGTTAAACTTTAATTCAATGAGATATTCAATGAAGAAAACTAAAATTAAATTTCTAACATTACACGAGAATTTTTTTACGAATATCGCAGTAGAATAAAAAGAAATTGCTTCAGCCGATTACAAATCCGAAGAGACTGCCATAATTCAAACGGTGCGGACCTTTCTACTACCGAAGAATTTATCTATAAAATACTTAATTCAATTTACTATTAGAAATGATTAATAGAATGTTCTGTAGCAAAGGCGCGACAATAAGATAAATAAAATAACACGCTTCCAAAAGAACATGAAATATTTCTAGCACTATTTAATCAAAAAGTAGATAGTAATTTTATGATGATATTTAGAACATTTTTTTTTGAAATCATACTAACATTATAAATGCGAAAGTTTTGATGGATGGATGGATGTTTGTTAGAGTTTGTAAACTAAGCGGCTGAACTGAATTTGGCATAGACGTAGAGAATAGTAGGGAAGAACACAAAGGTTATACACTTTTTTATCATAATTCCACGCGGACGGAGTCTCGGTTGAAAGCTAGTAAATTAAATAAACAGAACCAATTTAAAATTGCAAAACTGTTCACACCACGCTCAAATTACCATTCGCTATATCGTTGACTAGTTCCAGGCACTACAGGGACAGTGTTTACGTTTACATAGCCGCTACACGACATGTTAATTAAAAAAGTTCCCTACTAGAATAACTGAACGATAAAAATTTATCCAAAATGATAGTTTCCAGGACAAAGTTCCGCTAGATAAAAAAGTTGGATGAACATGAATATTTATTGCCAAAATTAAAAGCACGAGTTACGATCAAATTTTATCTGCGGAGCGTTTGTGATCTTTATAAGGTGTTAATAGCGATGATGTATAGTATAGAAAATAGGTTATAATACAATTGATGAAGCTTACACACACAAGAACAGACAGTGCTATAGTAAACTTAATATCACTTTCTGTGCATAAAGGTGGGTAACGCATCTTTAATTACAGATGTCTACGGGCAGCGGTCGCTACGCTATTCCGGAAAATACAGGTGAACGCTTGATGGTAAAAAAATGCCACCTGCGACATCAATATTAATAACCATATTTATGCCACAAACTGTGAGTATTATGGACATAATTGATTACATTACCGATTTTATTATTTAGGTTTCCAGTGCGTTCCTAATATTTTTAACCTCTACACAGTAAAAAGAAATATGATGTGATATGTCGTAAAGTCGATGCGAATTGCTTAGTTATAAAACCAATACATTGGTACTGATGGGATTCTGTTAATAATACTTAGTTTCAACTAAGCGTAAGTTAATTAACACACGCCCCATAGTGTCAAGTAGTGGAACATTAGCGCTGACGCAAGTTGGTCATCAACAGTATTATGTTGCAAGTAACGAGCGACCGCAGAATACAAGCTACCATATTAACAAGTTGACTATCACGATTCAACTTGAGAGTTCATTTTATAAAGAAAGTAATAGCATGGAATGTCTTGAACAAACTACATAAAGAAAAAATACATTAGTACTTACCAAAATCGGAATTCATAGTACCTACAGGTTGTTCAGTAAATAAATATTGGTTACTAACTCGTACAGTACAGTGGCACAATTTCGGTATTGTTATAATGTGGGCCAAGCCTTTATTGTTCATAACGAAAGCATTGTGATTTAAACACAAAACAGGAATACTGAAATTTTTAAACATCGGGATATTGGAAAAATTTTTGATGGAGCGTTCTAAACTTTCGCATTCGTATATTTCAATCGTAAATACAAAACATTACACATGCCATTTCTGTTTCAAAGTTTAAACTACTGGCACTAATGTTTGTTTGTCTAGGTTTTTATAGAAATGTGTAATGAAAAATCTGGTCAACATTAGAATAGACTTTCAAATTGTACAATTTTTTTCTGAGCTATATTTGTTAATTCAAGTGTAGATTTAACCAATATCTATGTAAGAAGTATTAATACGTTAAAGAGGCAAAGGTATTGACCTCATTTGGTATTAATAATTTCTAGTGTGGTGTTGAAATGTTTTTCAAAAATAAACAATACAATAACTTACCTGTTCTTTATAACTTATGGCGATATTTTGATACGTAACAGCATTGAGCATCTGAAACCAAATAAAACAAATACATTTCGAAACTCTACCTTCATTTCGTTCTCCAAAGATATCGGGTATTAACATTGAACATAAAAGGAACGTATTAAATGCTCTCCGTTATCTGTATGGGAACACGGCAAAAGCACGTACGTATGTTGCCGTACCGCAATACAGATTCTATCTCTGCACTAATGGTCTACATGTGAAAGGTGAACATCTATCTAAAGAACATCCTTCTAATGACTATACCTTTAATACTGTTTGCACATTCTTTGCTCTCAAGACTATTTATAGTTTAGAAGATTATTATAGAGAAAAAATTTGCAAAAAAGTTTAAAAACCATACAGTTTCATTGAAAAGATATATAATCAAATAAACATATCTGGCCCGATGAAAGAGGTACTGTTTATGTTTATTTTTGTCATAAAATATGTAAAACCCAAATGCATAAAATTACATAAAAAGGATCTTGTGACAAGTTTAACACGAGGCCGCTAGTCAGCTGTCATAGTTTCGTTTGATTACCTTCAAAATATGAACTACTTATGTAGTGTTGCCTTTTTATGATATTAGATAACATTTGATGCTTTAGTAAATGAGTTTTACTATAAGGAAAATTAGTTAATGTTACTTCCATTTACATTATTGAACTTCAATCTATTCCTTGGTATAGAAAGCATAACGTAAGGCACACCTAGAAAGCAGGTCCATTAAATTGTTTTGTACGTAATTGTTACTGTATACGTTTATTACTGTTGCTTCGGTCACTGCTTTAATCTTATAATGGTATTGTAAGTGATTATAAGCCGTTCGGTTTGTAAGTCCAAGTATTTTGTACAATTAAATTATTAGTTTCAGATTAAATTTTCGAAACTTATTGTTTAGATATTACTTAACTAAGTTTAAGATTTCTTCTTGCACTTTAAATATAAAACATTACTAGTCGTTTGTTATTAATACTTAAAGGGCAACAAGTTGGTATTATAATAACAAACTAAATTGACGAACGTTTATGAGAGAACGTTTGCCGTTTATTAATACAAAATACCGTTCCGTAACAACTATTAGAATATTATGATAATAGTTTTATGACCTAATAACCTGAAGTGAAAAGAATTATTAGGCATTATTTTTTAATTTTATAAGGTCAATGACCTAAAATCCACGATTCTTTACAAATGTGTTTGCAATACAAGCCTTCGATGTATGCTATAGTAAGTAGGGATTAAGCTTTCACAGTCTGCAATTAAATTACTATTCCTTTCTAATTTGTCATCACGCAACTCGCTTGAAACCCAACACTAATAAAGTATTATGTTATTTTCTATTGAACTATTAGATTTTCTTACAAACATTTCTATTGAATAAAAACAATAATAAAAAACGATAAAAAGAATTTCCAGTGACAACAAAACGAGGTCGGATGCAGTTCGTTTGAACAAAGAGTGAGGAAGTTGCGCTATGAAGTTAAAACTGTTACTACTGTTAGGCAACGGGGACAAATCATATTTTTATGTTACATCGACGATTTTACGTTTAATAAAATAATCGAATATGTTACAAATACAAACTGTAAGCTATCTTATTTATATTAAAACATAGAACTGTTAAATAATTTTTAAATGAAAATCTTCTAGCGTTAAACTTTTTTTGAATTGGAGGCCAATGGCCACAAATAGATCAATATGGAAGAAATTACGTGATAAAGACAAGGCGAACAAAGGACTGTAGGCCTAAGTAAGAAAAAGCAGTTATAACATACTATCGAGAAACGTTGGTTTCACTGTTTTACGCTGAATTTACGATCTACGAGCGAATTTTATATCTTACTAATTTTACACATTCCCAGTAAAACAGTATATCTAGTCCATTGTGCTTTGCGTGACTAACAATGACCGTATGCAGAATACTGCGTCGCCACACTATTGTCGGCTGTACGTCGATCAAACACGCCACTGAATTAGTACTGCAGACTATTATTGCAGGCTCACTGCGAGTTGAATGTACTTCAAGACTAACGTAACTTCGGTATATGGTTCAATAGTTAGAAAATCCTACAAATATTATAAACAGAATATCAATCATTCTCAAATAAAACGCTAATTCGTTTAATCTATCACACACACCACTTCGTGGCGTAGGATGTTAGCAATCACAGCATATTTTTGAATAATTCTTTCTTAAATAAAAAGCCTACACCTACGACACGCTTTATGAGATATATATTCACGCTATTAAACAAAATGAATTGGAAAAAAAATTCACGTGGGAAAGGGACCATAAACTACAAGCTGCCAACATCAAGGAAGCAAGGTTATTATGGTTGTCATTTTTGCATTTGAATTTTTACATTTGGAATTTGAAATTTCACAAATGTAAAAAATGTAGATTTCATGTGGATGAAGCCGCAAGGGAACAGCTAGTTAAATGATTTATAAATTCAAAAAGCTACAGCTTTTTATAATGATGGCACATTTCATTTTTCGTGCATCCAAAATAATCCGGTTAGCAAAATTGATTTTAGACTAGATATCGTAATCAATGATTGAAAGTAAGTTAGTGAATGCACTTTAGATATACATTCGCTGTCTACAGGTAATCGCGATAGAAGTTGTTCCCGATAAACTAACACAAAATCAATAATTGTCTATCCGATCCGTACGAGCGCTCAGTGGAACTATTACCTAAAATAATATTAACTTTTGAATTAACTGCAAATACACTGAATATTATATAACGGTAGAATATTGAAACGAAGTTTAAATATACAGCGTCCTACACGATAAGACCGCGCTTTAAGTTCAAATTTTGTTGTCTTTCAGATTGTAAGTTGCATACGAAACGAAGTTCTATAGAGAAAAGCTTCGTTTCAGTATTCCGTAGTCACTTATCACATCAGTTGTTTAAGAAAATTACTTCACTTGTACATGTCTTTAGGCAATGAATTTTAGGCACTGACATTTACATAGTTATGTTGTATGAACAAGATGCTTCAAGGCAACAGTCAGTACGTAGGCACTACGAGCAGAGGCGCCTAATGGCCTGTCGGTTGGTGCGGGGTGAGGGGGGTGATTGATCGACAGGTGACGTGTGCTGTGGCCCCGTCGCAAAACATCGCCGCTTGTTATAAATCAAATGTCCAAATATCTGCGATAAAATGTGATATACATCTAAATATACATTTTAATCTACTTAAAATGTTCTTAGACTGTAATGATATAAGTTGATAACGTCACTGGTATATTTTATCAAATTAAAAACAACAACAAACTTGTAAACTTGTTTAGATAATGTATGTAACGTTTGTGGTATTCAAATCCAAATCAAACGTCAACTTATCCACGTTATTCTGTTAGAAATGTGTCGTGAATACAATAGATATTTTTATAAAGGACTAGCTTTAAAAAAGAAAATCCACTGTGATATTATTTAAAAGTACAAAGGAATACAAAACAACGACATAAATACCTGTTTACTTAAACCGGTGCGCTTCTTTGTGATAAGTTCTTAATGGCATCTGAAACAATAAAATTTATATAACATTTTTATTTTTGTCAAATTTAACTTGTTAGCTAAAACTGAAGCGAAGTTTTTTATAATATAAGGTGACAAACGAGCGGCTAGAACACCGAGGTGGTCAACGACGCCCATTGACATACGCAACACCAGAGTAACTACAATACAAATAATAAATCATTATACAAATAACTATGTAATAAATATGTATTACATTATTAAACAGTAAAACTACCGCTAAATCTGATGAATAAAGTTAAAAAAACTAATTTAAGTACAAACAGAAATGTTTTACTGCCGACTGCAAAGTCTGATGTGACACGAACTACTCGTAAATATAACAGCTGTTAACTTAAACTTTACTGCGTTTTGAATCGAATCGCGTACACGTGCTTAAGCAAATGTTACGAAAAACTTCGTAATTAATTTTAAAACTGAATACACTATGAAATTTCGTATTAATTTGAAGTTAACTAATTTTAGTAATGAATATATGAATCTATCGTAAATCAGTTAAATTCAAAATCTTAGTAATCTTACTAATATTACAAATGCGAAAGTTTAGATGGATGGATGGATGGATGGATGGATGGATGGATGGAAGGATGGATGGATGGATGGATGGATGGATAGATATTTGAATGGATGGATGGATAGATACATGAATGGATGGATGGATAGATGGATGTTTGTTAGTGTTTGTAGCCTAAACGGCTGAACGGATCTCGATATAATTTGGCATAGATGTAGAACATAATCTGAAAGAACACATATACTTACACTTGTTTTTTTTTTAATTCCACGCGGACGGAGTCGCGGACGAAAGCTAGTTAATATATAAAATCCGCTTACAAGACGTTCGTTACTTACATCGCAGTTTAATTGGTGCACTCACCCAGGAAGTATTTTCTCTACAGCTGTGACCCATTTCACTGAATCTCAATGAATCTATTATTGTACATAGTGCACCTGCTTTACTTAACGAAAAGTACGCATAACAAAAACAATGTCATAATTCCCAAAATTTACGCATGGAAATCTTACTAATATAGATAAATGCGGAAGTTTAAATGGATAGATGGATGTTTGTTAGAGTTGTAGTCTAAATTACTGAACGGATATGGATGAAATTTGCCACAGTTGTAGATATAGGATACGTTTTAATTTCTTTTAATTCCACGTAGACGGAGTCGTGGGCTATTCTTGTTTAATAACAGATAAAGTCGAATTTATTTTATGGTCTAAAATCGGGATTCGTCTTGAATGGAACAAACCAATGATCACTTTATTACATTACAATGTTAGGGACAACTTCTCTTAATAGGTTTTTTTTGTCTCAGAAATATAACAATCTATTCAAGCTCCCGGTATTAAAAATAATAAACTTAAAATCACAGTTTCTATAAACTTATTTAAGCCGCCGCTCTTCGTTTAATTCAGGGTCTTCAGTGAGGGATTTTCTTCTTAATATCTGCGATCTTACAACTCTGGCGTGAGCCCTAACGAAATTATGAAATGTCTTGGAAATTCGACTGAGAAGCGGGTCTTAGTAACGTTTCTAATTAAAACATCCTCTTATTTTACCTCAAGCTATTAAGTAACACGACACTAATGGTAGCCAAGATAATGGCAAAGAATATTAAAGAAACGATTTCTTATTATAATAAAATAGAACGAGGTATTAAGATTAACCCTGATGGCATTAGTAATGGAACCATTTAGCTGTTTAACGCAATAAGTAACTTCTTTCTAAAATTATAAATGCGAGTGTTTGGATATCTAGATAGATTTACAATAGTATCTCCAAACAGGTGAAGGTATATCACTTATATTTGACATAGTCTGGAGGAACACATCAGCTACTTATTAGATTTTTTTTTAATTCCACGCGGATGGAGTTGGGAGCACAAACTAGTATGGAATAATAAAACTCCATCGCTTAGCAGGGGCGGTTTTCAAGTCGTCGTATCAACACGCCTACTAAAACAATAAAGTAAACCAGTAACAATTTATTTCGTCGACTTGCAACCCAAATAAAACTTGCTACGTCGTCAATTCAGTAAGGGATCGAACTCTGGAAATAACTGTAAATATAAAAAACTTTTCTAACGCTATAAATTGGCTACGAAAGTTCAATGAGAATTAATCTATGTATTAAGACTGCTTTTTATTTCATTAAAACTGTATTATTTATTAAGCATGCAAATCAAAGGTCGCCGAAGGATAATCAGAGATCACGCTTCGCTCCGACAAAGGGCCGAGGGCACGGTGAGAGCGGAACGAGCATGCGGGTTTTGTGGGAGCTTGTGGTAATTCGTTTGCTCACGAGACCCACAGATAAACAACACTTCACGAAGACTAACATCGCATGAATAAACGCCGGTTAACGACATAGGTAAAGAATGTAAGGTCGCAAGTCTTGAAATACAAATATTATAATGACCAGAATGCGCAGTCGTTAAAAATAATTTAATTGAGAATATACTCGTTATTCCACGAGCAGCAATTAAAGCGAATATAACCGTTACATCGTAAATGACAAATGTTATAAGCTATTTACACAAACGAACGCCATAATTCTAACTACATAACAGCGTTCTTACTTCTGCAAGGTTTCTTTGTCTCAAACAATGGTATAGTGATAGTTTTATTAAACTGAATGTAATCAAAGAAATTTAAAACGTTTAAGAGATAAAACTCATTTGTACAAACTTGAAGAACTTTCCAATAATTAAATGCCATCGCTCAAGAAAGAATATAAATTGGACACTGTAACTATCTCCAGATCCTTTTAAACGTTGCAAATTATTTATACAAGAATTTACAATTTTAAATGGAAATGTAATGGAAATGTTAATTAAAATTATAACAAAACTGTTTACTCTGTTATTTCTCTAATTTGATTTGTTTGAAAAACAACTATCCTTAATGTTAGCATATTCAAACAAAAGTTTGTAATACAGCTGGAACGACAATTGACGCAAAATCGATATGCATTGCCGTCTTGTGTAATTGTTTAATTATAACATGAGGTGAGACTCAACATATGGCATAACTTCTAAGGGTATTTATAAACGGAAACTTTAGTATACAAGATGTTCATAAAATTACTTAAAAGCAAATGAGTGTGTCGGTGGCTCAGCGGTTTAAGCATTTTTAAATAAAAACTAGAAGAAAAGAGAAAACAATAATTTCGTTATTACTATAAATGATGAGTAACCACTTAAACCTTTACAAATACAGACCTTTGATCCCTTTGAGATCACACGAGAAAATATCACACACCCGCATCTATGGTTCACGGTAGTAAACAAACTTCAAATAAAACAACAAATCGAATCTTCAAAAATAATACCAGAGTACTAAACCTGACGACATTAAAAGACCCTGATGTACACAAAGTACAGCACTCTTATATAAATAGTATACAAGATTGGAGAGCCTTATTTTATAGTACAAAACATTTTAAGGAATTAAATGTTGATTCAAACTTTATCTAGACAATGGTATCGTTTAATGGTTATACATTTATATCAACTTGCTTGGATTATGTAATCAGTTTATACAAGAAATACCTCAGTTTTACTTTTTAATAATGTTGTATTTTACGTGCAGATTATTGTCATTTTTTAATTTATTTTATAAGTTTCATAACATTTTAACTTCTGCAATTTCAGACTTAGATCAGTTTGCCCTCGTTGACCTTGCCAATCCCGAATAACGCATCATACCAAAAAATACAGAGGACTTCTTAATTAGGAAAACGTGACAAGATATGGGAACATATTGTAGATTATGTATCACATTTATGTTTAACTTTTCAGATGTTTGAAAACATCTATGTTTTTGCTCACCCCATGTTTTACTTTTTCTCAGTCGATTTTAGTTTGTCAGTTGAATAAATTGAGATTGCAGTTAGTTCTTCTGACTTCTATGTTATTAAAATAAATAATGTATGTGTAAACTTTAACATTGCACTCAGTACTGTTATTTAGGTTAAGCGGCAACCAGATAATAAATAGCGTTGTTTGTTGTGCAGTCCGCAGAACAGAACGCGACAACAGTGTCCAGTGCATTAGGTTGAAACGGCGGGGTAATTAATGTTGGGTCGCTGCGTGTCGCTCCCCACGGCTAATGTACTGGCTCAGACCCTGACATGCGATCCCGTTCTACCCTCCAAACATTCTAATAAGTGCAATTGTGCACATTTCAACTATAACCCATTTTTACAAATTTAATTTGTGTGCGTCAAGCCACTGGACTCTATAAATGGACAGGCTTTAAAACACGGTATTTTTTTATCATAAAAGGGGCAAACGAACGGCGAGAACACCTAGGTGGTCAACGACGCAAATGGATATCCGTAACACCAGAGGAACCATAGATGCGTTGCCGGCCTTTGGGCCTTTTTGATTTTATTTTATATAAATCAGTGGCTCAGACAATCTTGCAGGTTCTGCATTGTATATATCTCTGGTGTGTCTCAGTATACGCTGTCATAATCTGCAAAAATGCTAATGAGTGCACTTGTTCAAGCTTTAACTATGACCCACATTGGCATAATTACGACATAGATCATTAATTATTTAAATTAATATCATATAAATTGAAATAATTAGTAGATTTGTCTTTAAAGGAAAATTCTAGAAAAACATAGATTAATAACGGTCCAAGTATAAATCTAATTTAAAATTCCAGACACCGAAAAAGGTTTTATCGATATATGGCGTCTCTTTGTCACAGATGCTCTGTAGTATTTCGGTGCATGTCTCTGATTCGCGGCTGCATTTTATATTCTCATGTTAGATGGTGTTAAGTATAAAACATGTAAGACAGCTGTTAAAATGCCAAACGTATGGATTTCAAAACTGGACTTTTTGTCAAAACGCCACCGTAATATAAACTTAAATTAATATTTTATAATTTATTTCTTCTCACAGAATTATTTAAGAATAAATGTTTAATATCTTAACACAATATAACCCTTTCTCCCATAGTAAT